GGTGGGATATCAATTAGTACAAAAGAAAGCAGGAGATCATGTTACAGTTACCAGGCTAAGGTCGTTGTAGCACTTGTTTTAGGAACTGCAGTCGTATCGGAAACATTCTAGTTTCATCCTCATCTCAGTTTTTTTCCTAGTCGCTTATGGACACAATCAGCCGCTTTTGTCTAGTGGTGCTTATTGTACTCTCCTTCAGAAACGAAGAGTATTCGATATCCTTTTGTGTTTGTGAAGCACACACCTAGATTGCACTTCCGTGAATGGTCTGTAACAGCACACTCTTCCCCAAGCGGTGTTTACGAAACTCGAGTAACAAGAGTTCAAACTGAACCGATCCTATAAATTTCGGAATACTCTAACTGGTATCCTCGCATTTACGGAGCCTAGTTGGCCAGCTGAAGGTTGAAATAAGGTCACAAAAGCGCTTCCTTCTGAATTTCATCTTTCACGAACATCATGCTGTCGTTCAACCAGTTCGTGGACATACGACCAGCTAACCTTAGCATATCCTGCTAGATACCCATCATTAATAAGGTGAGGGAGAAAACACTCTGACTTATAACCAAAAAGATGTCCGCAGAGAATTAAAAGGCCCATACGTAGTGACACTATCCTCAGTGGTATTCAGTAATAACGGATGGTCGCATAAGGTATTGCGAACACTCAGAAATTTGTTCCCGAGTAAAAGAAAACTTGTCTGAGATAAATAGGACCGGGATTCCTACAAATACTTAGGCTAGTATGAAGATAATGTGAGAAAGCTAAATCCGAAAAAAGTTATCAAAATTTGATTAAGAGTTAAAACAACGAATACGGCATGCAACAACATGTTTTCTGACAGACCATTCAGGCTGACAGAACGGAACGCTGCTAACAAAGGACTCAACTTCAGGTTTACAGACGTCACGAAGCTAGTGTAATTGGTCTGCCTAGAATCCAAAAACAAATCTGAATTTGACCACAATAGCCAGCAACAACTCTGCCAGACAGACTCCTAGCAGCTGCAAGCAGTAAAAAACGGACTCGATAGACTACCTAAATGGCGGAATATCTGCCAGAGGACAAGGAATGCCTGGTAGACATCACTATACGATTGAGCATTGCAACACTGTCCACATAGCAGGAAAACTAAAAGGCCTGCGAGCGCAATAAACAACACTCCCAGAAGATCCTGAGATCTGCAGGCTTACAAAAGAAAACTGTCGGAAAATGATAACGCGGTATATTGATATGGCTTGCTTCTAAGGATTTCTGGAAGTGCACAATCAGCTAAGTCGCTGAGGACCAGTATATCACTTCCAGGAACAACAACGTGAACATTTTTGAAAGAATTGTGGAAAACCCAAAATATCATAGCAGTGAGCCTCTATAAGCAGTCATCAAGGCGAGGGAAATTTTGGACACAAACTGAACAAGGCACAACTACCGTTTTATTCGATGTGACCTTCCAATCCATATCTGTAGGACCGGTTCCTGCCAAGACATCTGTGGTTTATTGCTGAATAGCCACAGAGCTTCAGATGTAACCCTGCATATTGCTCCGTTTTCGCACAAATCCAACAGAGAATATTACGAACAAATGGATGGAGTGTCACAAAGCTAGTCCCAGTATTCACCATCAGGACTGAGACGAAAAATCTGAAAAAGGTTGTACTTTAATATATAGATTTGAACATGAGCATTCCAAACAAAGGGCAAACTTCAGCGAAACAATCAATAGTTGAATGTCATTTTCTGCGACATTAAATTGGAAATGAAGAAAATACGTGAGATCTAGTGTGTGCTCTTCTCTAAACAGACAGATGAAAAATACACATCGATGTTTACCTGAAAGTGACCAAGATGGATCCAATCTGAACCACCATATTAACTGCTCATACAGTCAAACAAATTTCAACCTGCAACTTTTCACACTGTTCCATTATGAGGGAGAACAAATATTCATACAAAATGCTTTGGAAAGTTTGTCCAAAAATATCATTTACAGGTGTCTTGGAAACAGCAAATCGACCAGCTCAACAAGGCAAACAGGAGGTGAAATAATTACGCTTCAAGAAAATTTCTCAGATGACCACACGAATGTTAGGGTATCTTACTGTAACTGTGACCGGCCAACCTACAAATTGCAAAAAGCACTATTCAAGCCAAAATGGAAACTGGGGCACTGAAAGTCGCATGCTTGGCACAAACTTCTGTGCAAAGACAGTGACAAACACCACGTTGAGCAAACATGAAGAAGGCCATTCAGCAGAGTACTTGAACACCAGTTTACCGGTTCGATATAAGACAAACTGCCATTTGTCTTTCTATATGAAGACAGGGGAGTACATAATTAATATAGGAGCAAGCCCATGTACAAACTCAAGCAAAACCAGCTGGAAAAAACGCAAATTTATGAAAAAAAAGTCAAGTACTCAACCAAAACCATCATTGAGAAATTCATTAAGAACAACTCATTTTATTGAACTTTTTCATGAAAAAGACATGATTTTCAAGTTCAGAAACACGGAAGAAACCAGAAAAAGATCAATAGAATGCACCATCAAATCACGAAATCCTGCGGACAGAACCACTGCGGTTAAGATGAAATCAGCACATGAGTCGGTGAATAGGAACAAAAAAGCTAACGAAACTTGTGTAGCGCAAGAAAACACTCGGTAAGGCAGCGAAAGAACGGAACGGCCAACAAAGCCCGATAGAAAGAGCGGACAACCAAATCAGTTCTAATGACTAAGCCAGCCGGAAATACAGGTTGTCTGAATAGCCAAATAACTAACAAGAAAACGGACCAAAACTAAGTTCACAAGAGAAACAAGAGAGCCAATCGATATACAGGGACAAAACTACTGAGTTGAAGGTATTCATAGAAGCAAAAGCAAACAATCAGACCACATCATAGTGAGAATTTCAAATGGTCTAATTAACAACTTATTTGACTTACATGAGATCCACATTGGATACTTTACTAATGAAAGCAAATGCGAAGACAATCCCCCATTTGATGAGACTTCTTCGTTCGGTGTCGAAAAGTTTGTAAAGCGATAACAAGAATTGGCGAAGAGATCAAATGCCACACGATAAGTGCATCCAAGCTAGCCATATTGGAGCATATTGTTTTCGGGAACTGTTGCAAAGTGCCCTTCAATGGACTTGTATCAAAACTTTTATTACTGAAACAACAGCCGTGATACTGGCATATTTGTCAAATTTTTGAATAGACGTGATAACCACAATTCCGTCTGCTGTCATTATTTTTCTGGTATATTATACCATTCATAGGTTTGCTGCAAACTCCTCGAAAACTTGCCACCGGTTTCGCCATTCTTTGGACTCATGAGTGAGGCCAAGTCCCCGGTGGTAGGAATCGATCTGTTTTCTGATGAAATTGTCCTCGAGGAACTTAACAGATCGTACGTGAGGTGGCGTTTGTGCAGCGTATTAAATTGTAAAATATCATAAATAAAAGGCTCATTTCACCACCTCATTGACACCAAAGTAAGTTGCAGAGGGGTGTATATTCCAGTTCAGACCCAACTTCTCGAACTTTCGCCTGAGAAGTGCTCCACTTTGAGAAACCACTATGATATACCTGTATATAAAACACTCGCTTCTTGTATGCTTCTACTTACAGACGTCGAGCAAACCGTATGCTCCACCTCAGGTGTGAGGCGTCTACTGAAAGCTAAGCTAGACATTGCTGAAAATAGTAGTTGCTGAGAAGAAGAGCTTTTGTTCTGACACGTGGGTGATGTTACTTCAAAACAAAGATTATCATCATCCTTATGGGAAACGCACTTTCAACGATCTATACACACTCCAAGTGATGAACAATTGCTTGAAGGATCGGTTGACCAACAGATACATTTTACAGATAAATGTGATGGAATTCATCAAATGATTCTTCTAAGATTTGTAAAACGTCAACTGTTTAACAAATGGTGCCATTTTCTAATGTATCCATTAATCAAGCTTTCATCGGATTTGGACACTAAATGAAATTCTCAGTCAATCAGCCTAAAGTGATGGCTTATCAGCGCTTACCAAATCAAGCATCATTGTTTAAGTCCATAGGTCACGAGCCTCTGGGAAGTCCTCGCCATCAAGAGTCCAAAAAATAAACAAAACGCCCACGACCGGTTTCACCCTTCTTAAAGCTCATGAAATAGTCACAATCCTCGACAACTTTGAGTTCTCATTGAACCTGAATTGGATTAACTTCAACAAATACACTTACATGCATATCAATTTGGTTTTCTAGGGAGACTATGCTGAATATCTTGTTAATGAAATTCAACTGAATGTGCTGCGCAAAGGTCACCGAACAATTCGGCTTGTATGATATTAGAGAGATTCATTTGATTCTCCCGTGAAAAACAAACCGATATTCAAATGAGTTTATTGTCAAAAGTTGTTCAAGTTTGGTTCAATTGAAAGATGAGGTTGACGGAAATCCTGGGACTGTGACTAACTGATAAGCCCTAAGAATAGTGGAACCCGCCGTGGGCTGTTAAATTGTTCTGAGAAAACTTATAAGTGGTCTCGTTTGTGAAAATATAGTGTGATATCTCGAATATATTACTAACTGAAACATGAAGTGGCCCTTGTACAGCGTATCCAGTTACCGAATAACATCAATGAGAGATTGACTTGAGTCTCCGGTGAAAACCAGATTGATATGCGAATGAGTGTATTTGACGAAAACCAAACGCCTTTTCGTCTATTATTTAGGGGGTTCACACTGAGCTTCACCTTTTACACCCCCAAATTCCCTCATTTGTCTGTACTCTCACTTGCTTCGGCAGCCAATTGACGTCAATTGCAATTACCGTCATATGCGTCTTGAGAACAGCAGACTGATCAGGCCCAAACCAGTGAGGTGCAGAGACGAGACAATCTGAACCGGTTAGTTTACATCACTTCGAGAGAGAACATACGCCTATAAAGCAATCGCTTGGTACAATAAGTTACTACCATTGGTCAGTGTTTTCATCTCTCAAGCACAAACTGTCATGTGATAGAAGGAGTTTTGGTATATGAACAGTAACTTATAAAAATGCTGAGGGCGAAAGGACTGTGGTTTTTTTGGTGGTAAAGAACTGAACAGTAGAAAGAATGGTAGTCTTCAAAATTATTACACCCTCTGAACGAACGCAAGATAAAACAGAAGTGACTCGATGGGCTGTGAAGGACGATTGGTGTGAACGGATTTGGGATGAGTTCATCAAACTATTGCAGAGGATTTTCAACACAAAATCTTCAAGATTCTTCATTTCATGGTATGGTAAGTTTCTACGATAAACATTAGGGCTAATAACGAGTCATTTGATGTATATCTTCTTGACTATTGACACTGAGTAGGCGTTCTTTGAGAGAACACCTTAAGACGTCGGCAATTATGTTTGTTAAAGTGACCCTGTGTTCGATGTCACTAGATATAACTCCCATAAACTCGTAACCCCTTAATAATAATGTGGCAAGCGTTTTATTCACGGGAAAAAATCACTAATTACGCCAAATGTTGAATACTGACCATAGCCAGAGTGTCCTGCACACAAAACCCCAATTAAGAGATTCGTTCTTTTTAGCCTCGATGTTTTCCTTATAATTAACGGTTGTCCGGAAAAACATCAAGCTTCACGATTCGGTCAAACCTCGACGTGATCGGTACTGTCTGCTTTGGCACAGTCTGTGTCATATTCCAAGGGTATTGACTCGCTCTCAACAACGGCACATACTTCGTGCAACCCTATGTGAACACACTGTTGCAAATTCGGTCGGGTCATTTGGTTTGCCATCATTGCAGACCTTTTTCGATTGAAAAAAACCTATAACTTTAGTTTTCAAGAAAATCTGTTGAAGTTACGATAAGCTGTCTGTAGTCACGCATGCTTGTGTCATCAGGCCATCAGTAACTTCGCCTGTTTTTCCGGATTTAGATTTGCTGAGTACCTTCCAACCGCTTTATTCCGGTTCTACTGGGATGGCTGCAATAGATAGGCGTTCGATCCCGAATGTCCTTCATTGTCGTCCTAACCTAACATGAATCGGATCAGAAGCTCTACTGTTCTTTGCTCGGCAAAGGTTGTCTGTTCCATCTGAGAACAGCCTCACAGTTATTCTTCTTTGTTAAACCAGTGCAGTATAGTCTCAATATTCAAAAACACCATCATTTGCGTAAGTCCGTCTATGGACAGGCAGAAGGTTCAAAACAGACATTTTGACGACCGAAAATGGTCGTTACCAAAGTATATGTCCAAACGTTTTCCTAGAGGGCAACCACTGGTTATCCTAGCAAGCAAAGAATGCTGGCATACTTTTTTCATTAAAACAAATATGCTGTTTACTAAGAATATATTATGCCACTGATATCGATGCTGTTTTTGTTTTAGACGGCACAGACTACTGCACTGTTCGAGAGTTCGCAGATCTGTCACAGGCCGTAGAATTCTTCACTGAGGAAGGTTCACAGGACAAAGCAATACGGCTGTTTGTTTCACCAGATACAACGGAACACAAAACTATTTTTGGCGAAAAGCCCACTGAGGACAAGGAAGAGGAAGAGGTTGAAAATGATACTTGTGTAGTTGAAAGTTATGAACTATTGGAAACTCAAGATATACAAGAAACTGAAGAGGAACAAACCCCGGAGCAACCTACTCAGGCAGAAGAAGTGGAAGAATGTCTGGCTAGAACCACGCTTGATGAAGGTGGGGATAGTAATGAGGTACCTACACAAACACACATGCCCGCTCCTGCTCCAGTGCCAACGCCAGCTTACCCAGCAATGCCTATGTACCCTTACATGTATACGATGAACACAGTTGGTCAGCCAATAATGTATCCTCAGTGGCCTGTGCCACCAGTTGTTCCACCACTAGCTCCAGTGCCTGTTCCTGCTGTGGCTCCCATAGCTGAACCAGAACAGAACGATCAAGAAACCAGCACATTCAGCGGAGCATCTGCACTACCACCGGTTCCGGCGTCCGCACAAGCGCCAGTGCCACTGCCGGAACCAGCGCCAGCACCAGCACCAGCACCAGAACCAGCGCCAGCTCCAATGCCTGCACCAACGCCAAAGCCCAAAAATGATCCTGCTTACCCCACCAAATTACCAGTCTGTCCAGGAGGGAATAAGTCAAACTCAAAGACCAGTTATGTGCGTAAGGCTTTGGTAATCCTTCGCCAGCTGGGTTTCCAACAAGATGACAGGACCTTGAAAAAGCTAATCAAGCAACATAAGGGTAACCTGAATGCTATTATTGATGCACTGTCGAGTAATTGTTGACACGAAGTGAAAACAAAACGGTGATTTGAAGTTAGTGACTGATTTTAATCACTGGACACTATCTAACTTAGCTACTACGCATCGTTCATGTGGTAAATCATCTCAGCTTACCTCACATTCAAAGCATCCACCTGTTTAATTGATCGCTTATGCAAACTTTAATATTTCCTCGGAAATAAACTTTCTGGAAGTAAATATGAATCCTTCTTTTTTGGCTTGAGGCCTAATGATAAAAAAGGCACTTGTTGACGGTCGGGAGGTTTGCACATGATAGACTCAGTTCGTCCCTTTTAGTACTGTGCGGCCTAAGCTAAAGAGTGGAGGGACTCAGGCCTTGCAGTCTTGCAAGAAATGGAACTTCTACTCAATGGACAATAATAATACATTTTCGCGCAGAAGGTATTGCCGTTCTACTGCTTCTTCAGATCAGAAAAAGAGATGGGTGCGAAACGAATATCTGACCCACGGGGCGAGCATGTAGCCACTACTCGACCACCGTAGGCGTAAATGTTTGGGTTGCCCCCCAGACTTCATTCCCAACCTTGGTTAACTGTTCTTTGTTGGAGTTGGTGCCGTTGCTGTTTCCTTTGCTGTGACACTGAGTCGGTCTAAGGTCATTTGTTCGATTTAAGTGATATCGTTTTGAGTTTGACTACGGTTCACTGGATGGAAATTCAGCCTCGTATGCTACAGGGGGGAATGTAATTAACACGCTCATATTATCATAATTTCATCATTTTTGAGGGCACTGTTGGATAAACTCTGTCTTTAACAGTTCAGGTCTTATGGCTTTGCCGCACCACAAAACGTGAGGGACTCAACTACTCAAATTATTTACTAGTTTGATTGTGATCTGAAAGCAACTGGTAATGGGGTGTCGAAGGTTTGGAATGAACCGATACATCCTGGAACATGCGTGACAACTTTGGAGACATTCTGAGTACAGATACCAAATGGGTTACATTGTCACAGAGCTAAGTACTTGGAAAGTAGGTCACCGGGAGGTAAATTTTCTGGGGACATTTATGAACACTTTAGTGTAAATTTTATTTGCTGCTCCTCTCCTTAACCCGTATTCAAGTAGCATGTAGGTTTTGTTCTTCATGACACGCCCCAGTTCTTATTTTGTTAGCAAATCATTCAGTTTCATTTTTCAGAGTCACATGAAACTACACTTTCAAACCACAACAGTTCAGTCTATTGCGTAAACAACAAACTTTGGGGAAATCGATAATTTAGAACAACATGTGAGCTGAGAATTTCAGACAGAATTGCGCAATGATGGTGCACCTGATCAGTGGATTCACGTAGTATCGTTTCTGTTGATAACTAGCCACTTGAGATGAAACAATAATCTGTAGTGATCTACAACAAACACGTTTGGAAAAGTAATTAGTGGACCATAGCTTCTACGGCACACGAGTCAAACATTTGAGTGGGTTAAGCCGGTTCGGTACTGAACTGATTCAACAAAAATATTCGTATATATAGATGTATATGTATATTTTAAGAGTTTCGGGCCGAAATCAGCTCGATTGGTGTTAAAAAAGATTTTTCGCCATGTGGTGTATAATATGGAGTTTTTTAATTATAAAGTCAAAACAGCGCATTGGCATAGGTTGTTATGATCCAGCATCACGGTTGTCGCTGGCCACCTTCCTCAAGGATTTCTACTATACATATATATATA